CCATTTAGCTCTTAAAGTTTGTGTATGAGTAACCTTGATTATTGAAGAAAACATATAATTCTGTCATGTAAAAAATAAAAGAACATATATCTTCCAGTTTTGGCTGCCTTAGGGTATATTCCCCCTTTAACTGAAGAAAAGTACAGAAGTTGAAAAGGAAGTTTAGAATGATAACGAGAGAAATGCAGTATGCATTTCTCAGAATGTAACACTTAAAACTATGAGAACAAAAGCACATAATAAATTTGAAAGGCAGAAAGGCCTTTTAACAAGAGAAAAAAATGAGTTTTGTCTTTAATCAAGAGAGTGAGATATAGTTCTTTAAAAATGCATTATCTATTTTCATTATTATTTAGTGGCTTAATGACACAGGCATTTCACTATTTTGAATGCCATACAAATACTACAACACAAAAATTCAATTCCAACAGTATCAAAAGCAAAAAAGGGCTTCTGCAAAGTGAAATGGCCTCTCCTAATAATTGTTGGGCCTATTTTCACAGTTCATAAGAAGGGTGGTTGTAGGACTATGGAAGATGATTCCCCTGGATGAGCTGGCTACCCCTGAAGGAGCGACCAAAGAGCACTCGGGGAAATGGGCTTAGTTAATAATTTGATCCAGGAGATCCATGATGAGAGTTCTTTTGACTGAAGGAGGGGGTGTGATCCTCCCTGATCTGCAACCCCTGATAAATAGCTGCAGAACTTAGACTCCACACTAAAGTTTAAAAATCACTGGCTAAAGGACAGGCAGAGAAGCCAAGCATCTCTGGTCAAAGACAGAACATCTTTTTGGGCAAAAATGTTGATGACCCCATGCCAATCCTCAAAACTTCTCTTGCTTATTTTTAATAAATGTGGAATGCGAAAGTATGGGATGCACTGAATGTATGAATATACCTTCAGACAAATCAAGTATAGCAAAGAAATAATTGGGGATTGAAAAGAGGAAGAGGAATACATGGTTTGTAAGATGCTTGTAAGGCGCTCAGGAAATGTATGCTATTAGCTGTTGATGCCCTAGAGCTCATACCTTCCTGAGAATCAAGGTGAGGAAACAAGAAGGACCTCCAAGAGATCGGGTTCTTCTGTCTTCCTTTTTTTACTCTCTTCCTTGCCATCTTCCCCCTCAACCATTCATCCACTGATTCAGCAATATTTATTTGATCATTGCTAAGGGCCAGAAACTGAACTAGGCACCAGGAAAAGAGCGAAGGACAATGAGACACAGCATTGCTTCCATTTGGTTTACAGGTTTTTTTTTTTTAGAAAAAAATGACATTAAATTAAAAAGTATATAGAAACTCAGGTGCTAGAAAAACTATAATGTCAGTATCTTCAGCTAGTCTAAAGTTCCAGAAAAAGCTTTCATGAGAAAGTGATATATAAGCTTAGATTTAAATGGTGAGGAGAAAAGAAAGAGGGTGTGTGTTGGAGGGCAAGTTCCAGGCAAAGGGAACAACATATATAAAAACCTATAAAGTGAGAAAAATCAATGAAGGCCCATGATACACTGATACAATGATATTAAGATTTCTCCCAGGTTTATAACTTCTCTACTGGATGTTATTTTGTTATTTTTTTTCATGAAGCAATAAAACACTAAGAAAAACATACATAAGGAGGTTGACTTCTTTTAGATCTGGAAAGGTAGTGGAAAAACTGGAATTAACTTTTATTTAATAGCTGGTTGGGGATGCAAAGGACACTGAGAGAGGGATTGCAGGTGGTAGTGATTGGGAGAGAGTAGCAAACATCATTGAGGAAATGAGGAGAAAACTGGATTTTTTTCTGTAACTACACACACTACCCCCCAATAATGGATTTAAAAAGAGAGGAATATTCATATAATTACCCATTTCTGGGGTGACAATTAGATTTTCTCTCACGTGCCAACTCCCTTCCTCTGGAAGGAGGTTGCTTGGAGCTTGGAGCACTGACTTGAGAAGGATTCTCAAATTCTCTCCTGAGGTTAGCAGGAAGGAGTGCTGTGACCAAATGACCATAGTTCTGGGAGGGGCCAAGGCAGAACGCACGCTGTGTGTTTGCTAGTCTGATCCAGATCATGAGAGGACTCCGATTTGAGCTAAGAATAACTTCTAGGCTGTAAGTACCAGTGCCAGTGAGTTTTCTCTATTATTTACTCACTTAAAGAACTCTACTAGTAAGAAGCTGGAATGATATAATGGAGGGAGCAAGAGACAGGGACAAAAGTCCTACTGCTGGCTCTACTACTGTTGTGCCTAGTATCCCAGGGCAAAGTTCTGAGCCTCAGATTTCTCACCCATAAACATAATATATTTCTATAAACATAATCTATAAACATACTCTATAAACATAATATATTTCTGTTTCTAGATTTGATTGCCACTGTGTTATTTGACTACAAATACAGTATTTCCTAGATCAGTGATGTAAACTGTAGCAGAGACTGCTCAATGTCTTTGGCATACACGCTCCTCTTCTTTCTTAGTGATAGAACCTTCCTCTCTGCCACCGGGGCTTTGATAGGCACATACACAGCCACTCTGTTTGAGATTACATTTCCCAGCCTCCTTTGTATTCAGCTGTGGCCACAGGACAATGTTCTAGCAGTGGAATGTGTACAACTTCTGCATCCCTTACATAGGAGGAAATGACTTTCCTTCTTTCTTTTTCCTGTGGCCTGACATATGAACAGGGCACCGGTAAACCAACTTTGACTAAATCGACCAACGTAAATGACAGAGGAGGTTGACGTTAGAGCAACAAAATGAAAGAAAGCTGGGCTGCCAGGCATTGCCATGAGCAGAGCTTCCTACCTTGCCTGGACTGCCTACCTACTTCTGGAATGGCAGATGGAAATAAAGTTCTCTCTTATTCGAGCTACTATATTTTTGGGTGTCTTTAGTGCTGCAGCTTAGCCAAGACTCGACTAATACGCAAACTCAAGTGCCTACTAAGAGGTTAATATAAATCAATGAATCATTTAGACGAGGATTGGTTCAAACCTGGAGAACAAATGTGCTATAGAAAGGGAGCAACCACAACACAACTCTGGCCAATTGCTACTATGTAGGAATAGAAGCCTAGGTTTCAAATCCTACTAATTTATTAAGAAATCTGGATTCTCAAGGGAAATCTTCCACTTTTATAAAATATTGGCAACTAATTCAAAATTCAAAAAAAAACCACTGCAGATTACACAAAAATGCTTTTATATCAAATTCAAGTCAAAGACTGCCAGTTTGCGACCTGTCCTAGATAGTGGGATTGTACTGAATATAAAATGCATAAATATATCATCATCTTAATAATGATTTTTTTAAAAAAACTTTACCACTTTAAATGCATACACTGACTACCAGATAAACTCTGATATCAGAAATGTGGAAAAATATGTATCTTAGGATTGGAAAAATTTGATATAAGAATGCAGTCCTAAATATGAAAAGCAACCCAGTTCGTGATGATGAAAATGTAATATAATGAGTCAAAATTTCTCAATCACTTTCAAATCTGCAACAGGAAGCAGCTGGACAGCTCTTAAAGCCAATAGCTATACCCTACACAGTAACTAGATTGTACTGAACTCGAATATACCACATGCATTTGATTATCTGTGCTATTAAGTGTAGTCTTTGATAATATATCTTTTTCTTCATTTCAGTGTTGTATAGCCACTCAAAAAGATACTGCTACGGTTTGAATATCTAACCCTCCAAACCTCAAGTTGAAATTGGATCACCAATGTTGGAGGCGGGGCCTAATGGGAGGCATTTGGGTCATGGGGGTGGTTCCTCATGAATGGCTTGGCACTCTCCCTGTGGTAATGAGTGAGTTCTCTCTCTGTTAGTTCTCCTGAGAGCTGGTAGTTAAAAAAATAACGTGGCACCTCCCCCCACTTCCTCTCTAGTCATGTGATCACTGCATAGCCGGCTCCCCTTCACTGTCCCCAATGAGTAGAAGCAGCCTAAGGTGCTCACCAGAAGCAGATGCTGGCACCATGCTCCTTGTACAGCTGCAGAACCATGAGCCACATAAACATCTTTTCTTTATCCATTACCCACCCTCAGGTATTCCTTTATAGCAACAAAAATGGACTAAGACAGACATACTGAATTCATTCCATGTTATTTGAACTTAATAATAAGGCAAAAGAAATGTTAATCATAAACATATTTAGCTAATAATTGTAACCGGGGAGTAACTGCAGTCACACTAGCACGTTGTGACCCATGAGGATCATCGAAGGGAAAACTGACCGACTTCTGAAGCACAAAATAATTGCAAGGGAAACCTTTGTAGGACCAGCACCTTCCCCCAATATCTAATCATATATAACATTACTAGTTTTATATCTGGTTGTTCCTTATTTCAGTCAGAAGAGCACATGAGTATCAGCCCAAGGGAGGCAAGTTTGTGAGACAACAAGAAAGCATTCCAGAGTATCCAAATGTCCAGCAGCTCTGTGCAGTGAGATGCCCACTGGCTAGCTGACCATCATTAGAGTCAGAAGATAGCTGCAAAGGTTTATCTGAGCCCAATGCCCCTGCCTGCATAGTCATGTGACAGTCAAATCAGAACATTCTGGAAGGATGCTGCACAGAATGATATGTATTTCACTGGCCCACTCCCTGGTCCCCACTGGCACCACCCTGGACCATGATAAATCTGTTCATTTTTAAAATGATCCAATTTACAGGTTGATTAAAACATTTAAAACTGACTTTTCAAAATGGGTCATATGACTTAAATACTAAGAATGAAGATACAAATAAGAAATTTCAAGTTTTCTTGTCCTTTAAAATACCTCATTCATTCTATTGAGAATGTTCCTTCTATCAAAGGTAGCTCACTATTATGTGTGATTTTAAGTGTCTGTCCTGAGTGAATAACATAAGAGGGTTAAGTTTAAATTTGCCTATAGTCTAAGGTTTACACCAGATGGTTCTGTGGTTTGGTTTTAGCTATTTCTTTTCTTTTTCCTTTTTTTCTTTTCTTTTTTTTTCTTTTTTTACCTCTGTATATATTCCAGTGCATTCATAGTAGTCTCTGGAAGGGAGGCCAAGTCGAGGTTGGTCAAACTATAAAAAAAAAATACATAAAAGAAAATAAATCATTCCACTGATATAGACCAGTTAGAAAAAATACAAGCATGCCTATCTGCATTCTAGTCTTGCTATTTATTAGGGTAACAATCAGACACTGAGTAAATACATAATTAGGAAATGGTTTCCACACTATTTGTAAGTGTTAAATTGATCAGCAGTAGATAATCTGGAGTGTTTTGCTGCAGATATTTGAGGAAAACTGAAGAAAATGAACAAAAAATACACTGGGAAGGATTTTTAATGCAGAGCAGAAGATGCAGGTAAACAAAAACATGACAGTATCTAGGACTGGGGAGTTTCTGAATTACACATTGCAGGGCTTCCCAGCTTCCTGCGATTCTATTACACTACATTGGGGGCATTCTTCTCCACTCCCACCCTTAGTTGGGATCCATTTTATTGGTGGGAGTGGATCATATCCTTCATGTTTATTTGGATGGATGTTTGGAGGGGAGTAGAAAATGTCTGTGGTAACTCCAGAACTTTTTAGCTAGTGTAACTCTTGCCAGAGATTTTTTAATATCCTTTACCACAGGGGTATGGTGAAGGCGACTCCTTCTTCTCCCCAAAGCTGCTCTGCTCAGAACTTCAGCATGGCCAGACAGCAGCTAGGTGTGTGAAAGAGGAAACTCAGTTCTGCTCGAGTGTGTCTGGCCCACCTTCGATACCCAAGTGAGGGCTACCCGGACATACTCATAGCTTTGTGAGGTAGTTTCTTATTCACTGCCTGGTAGCATAAGTGTGGGGACAAACTAAATATTTATGGGTAATTATGGGTTAAAGTGAGAATCCTGGCAGCAATGAAGAGCCTATGCCAATAAAAAGGAAACATAACCAAAAGGACTGGTATAGAAAGAGCCAGAAGTTATCTTCAAAGGAAGGGCCCTGATCCTTCCCCAACCTCCTGATTTTCAAAGTGATTATGCTGGCATTTGGCCCCAGGAAAGAATTTTGGAAGGGAGAAAAGGAGTACACTGTAGGAGAGAATTAATTTTTCTAGATCTGCAAAATATGACATTGGTATTTTGATGGGAATTACATTGAATCGGTAAATCACTTTGGGTAGTATGGACATTTTAACAATGTTGATTCTACTGATCCATGAGCAAGATATGTTTTTCCATTTATTTGTGTCCTCTGTGATTTCTTTCCTCAGTATTTCATAGTTCTCCTTGTAGAGATCTTCCACCTTCTTGGGTAAATATATTCCTAGGTAAATATATTTTCTTTGTGGCTATTATGAATGGTATTGAGACTTTGATTTGACCCTCAGCTGGACCGTTATTGGTATATAGAAATGCTACTGATTTGTGTACATCTATTTTGTAACCTGAGATTTTGCTGAATTTATTTATCAATTCCAGGAGTTTCCTGGTGGAGTCTTTGGAGTTTTCTAGATATAGGATCATAGTCATCAATGAAAAGGGATAGTTTGGAGAGAGTTGGGTTCAATCCCTTTCATGATTTTAATAAAAATGACCATAAAGATTTATGCAATAGTGACATGGATATGATTCTGTGACCTGCAAACTTTTGTTATGATTTCTTTTATAGGAGTCTAAATAAAAACTCTATAAAATTTTTAGTCCATTCCAAACATACTCATTAACCTAGTCTTAGGTGACACTCAAATAAATGGTTTACATTTTAAAGAATCTAATAAAGCTATGTAAAAAGAATGGCATTTTATTTACCTTGATTGAGAAAAAAGTATAAATATTCTTTAATGAGGACCAAAATTATATCCAAATCCCCTTTTTATGTTCTTTTTGTAAACAATTGGGAATTTTTGGTTTCCAGACCTGCATTACTATGTAAATCAAAGCAGACTCCTTTCATTAAATATACAAAGAAATTAGGTGCTTTTTCTGAATTGCCTCTGCTATTATTTATTTTATGAAGCAAAGAATATCTAGAACAGAGGTAAAGGAAGTGAGAGGTGAATGTCTAAAACACAATATTAAGAAAATACTTTCAAAATTGTGACTCCAGGTATTAGGGACAAAGCATGCATTTATTACCACTTTATTTATGCAATTCAAATGAAAATGTGCATTATTTCTAAATATCAATAACAACAATGTGTGTGGAAGTTTTATTATAATTTAAAGATAACTTTGGCTGTTTGACACACAAACTTACATGAATTATATGGTTCATAGAGTTCTTATCATCAGTGCCAACAAAAAAATTAATAAGAACTTTTTTCCCATATTTAGAATTCAGTTGTGCAATAGATTTCTCTGCTGTCCAAGAAGGACCTAAAGCAATGAAAGGTGAAATATTAAAAACTTTAGTTCATTAACCATACTATAAAATAACATAGATTTTATGGGGAAATTAACTTTTTAAAAGAGAAAAAATTGCCTCACCATATGTTTGCTCCCAGTTTTCTGTTGCTACTGGCCACCCATAGATATCTGGTAACAGTCTGAGTAGAGGTGTTCCGCCTCTACTGTCAATAGCAGCTTTTGAAAACAATGAAAATAAATTCAATATGAAATCTATGCATATTTTGGCACCAATATATGCACATTCCTAATGAAATCAAATGAAGTGCACTTACATTCATTTACACAAGACCTGTACAATGTTTTTGCTTTCTGCACTGCTACTATATCTTCAGTTTTGGGTTCTTGAAGGACATCTGAAATAGGGCATTTAATAAAACACATCAACATAATTGCTCATTTGATGCTGTAATTAACATTTGCAAATTAGGTTCAGTAAAAAATGTCTCTTTTCTGGAAGTATGTTCACTCCTTTCCCATTCCAAAACCTTATAGGAAAAAACAACCCCCTAGTAGATCATTCCTAGCACAGAACTGGGAGTTAGTTTCATTAGCCAACTTAGATGAAAGTCTTTTTGACTAGATTATCTTATTTTATGTACAGTGATGTGTACTGCTCTGCCACAGAAAATAGTTACTTTTCTTGAACGTGAGGTTAAAAAGAAAACAAAAAATAATGCAGAGGAATTTGGAATGTAATCTGGATAGTCCTTTAATGGCTGGAAAATAATTATCTTTGTGTGATTGTACTGCTCATGCTCCAAATGAATTAAGTGAATTGTTCTACTTGTTTGGACATTTAAAAAATAGTGAAAATTGTTTTTCTACAAAGTAACTTCTAGAAGAGCATGGAACAGAGGATGGGATTGGAGAACAGCAGGGACTCATTTAGGCTTTTTCAACTTCCCAGGGTGTGTCTTAGAATAATATACTTATGCCGGAAAGGGAAAATTCAGTAAAATAGCGACTTTAACATAGGGCTGGGGTACAGAGGCAACAGAAGTAATTTTTAGTGGCAATCTGATTTTTTTCTTCTGCAAACTGCATACAACTGCCATCTCTAAGGATGACAGAGTTTTCATTTGCATACCTACAAATGAAAGCAGGAATGCTAAGAGATGCCAACATATCCATTTCGGCATCTACCACCCTCGGGGTGATTCAGTGGTGGTCCACAAACCTGGAGGGATCACCAACTTTAATCTTCTGCAATATTCCTTGTAATGGCTAACAGTTGTACCTTTAAACTATGGATATATTAAGAGAGAAATTCTTGATGAACAGACACAATCTCCACTAACCTTTCAAAATGACTTCTAGTTCATCTCTTAAAATGTCAAAGTTACTGTAACGGGAGCTGGTCTCAGGAATGATGTTGCGTTTCAACCAGCCTCCGCAGGCATATTTGAAAAAGTCTGTACAGGGCTCGGCGGTGGCATCCATGTTCTGGATCAGTCGAGCAGCTGAAAGACCAGGGAAAGGACTAGATAAAATGAAGGGTGTATTTCTTAAGTAGTTTGGAAGGAAAAAAAGAGGTATGTTGCTCCCTCTTTCGATCACGTCAACTGGACGGATGTTTCTTTTTCTCTCTTATGTAGCTGTCAATTTAGGTGGAATGATGAACATTGTCTCTGCATAAACCTCTTTTCTTTCACTATAGTTGGTTCTTTTTATTTTGGAGCTGTCTGGGTCCTCCCATCCTACATCTGATAGCTTTCCCCCTTCCTGGCCCTCCAATATCTGAGTTTCTTGCTAGTTCTTATCTCAGAAGGAAAAAGAATATTGGTCTACTGTGCCTTGGCCATCCTGGGCCTGGGGTTAATATGTCATTCTTTATAACTTTAGTTGCCAACTCTGGTCTTCAAGGTGCTGTGACTTTTGAATGTCTCTGAGACTCCAAGGGATGGATGATTGTTAATGGGTTTTTATCGTTTTAGTAAGGATCTGAAGCCTAGTTATTACTTCTTGGACCTTGCTTATAAAATTTTTGCAATTCAAATTTGACATCCAATTTGCATTTGCTTATGTAGAGTCTGCCATTATAAAATTGGCTGTAAGCTTATTAGTTGTTCTCAGGTCCACTCTTTTGGACTATGATGAAAATGCAAATCAACCAATACTGAGTATTTAAAATGTGCAAGACACTGACTCTGCTAGGTGCTTCGGTTGATAGAACAATGTCTGAAATATGATTTATTGCCACCAAACAGGAGAATATGGCCCAATGCCCATAACGTCTGCACCTGGAACAGAGAAAACCCTGCTACTACCCTTCCCACTTTCTGTCTCATACAAATTGAACTGTTTTGCAATGAAAACAAAAGAGCAATTGAGAATTCATCTGTATCAAGAGAATATAAGCTTTCAAACGAGCTTTTGAAAATACTTCACTTTATGAATTAATTAATGTATTAAAAACTTCAAACACTTGCTGCTCTGTGTGGATTTTTTCAACTTGGTATGGTAGAGCTGCTTACCAGCTGAGCCGCATGCTCCATCTCTTGGGCACGTTTGCTTGTCTCCATTTCTTTAACACTACACTCTTGGAGCTGCCTCCAGACCATTTCTCTCTCGATTTTTATGCTTTGGTATATAGCACAATTGTTATACAGCCTCCCAGGTTTGAAACTTCGGGTAAAACTCTATATTTCTCCATTACCCTGGGGTTTATTGGCAATTCCTTTGCCTCTTTTCTATAACTGTCGTCTTATGGTCACTGTCAACCTAGTTTACATTTCATTCGCTTTTGACTAGAAGTCACCTTGACATATTTTGCACATCTTTCACAGATTAAACTTCCCAAAACTCTTTTGTAGTGATCATGACCTTGCTCAAAAATGTCTCTGGCTTGACGTTTCCCAGGTTGAACTACTAACTCCTTAACTTGGCCTCTAAACCTTTACTGGACTCCTCATGTCTCCACCCTCACCTTTTCCCCTCTTGGTGTTTTTATGCAAACTCTGTTCCAATCAGATGGGCCTGCTCAATGTGCACAAACACTCCTTGTGTTTTCCTAGTCTTGTGCCTTTGCTTCTGCCCTCCTCACACCACAGCTTTAACTCCGACACCCCCACGCCTGACTCTTTCCAAATTCTACCCATCATTCAAAGTTCAACTCCCGTACCATCTCCTCCCTGATGCTTCCACAACTCCAGACTTCAAGGAATATTTCTTTCTCTGAACTCCCAAGAGCTCATTGCCTCACTCAATCTTTAATGCTTAGATGAGGCCACTTTAAGTATTGTGGATACTTACTCTGTCTACCTAACCATTTGCTGATGTCATTCGTCTCTTTGTATTCCCATCACCTAGCACCTAGGTAATAGGGGTGCAATTATGTTTACGTGTGCCTGAATCATCTATGAGTCCTCCTACCCTCTCCTCCTGCACAACTCCCTCCCCGTTCCCAAGGTCAGATCGGTTCTCAGTTCACTGCCTTCAGAGTCCATTCTGTCCTTTCCAATCCCACTGTTTCCACTCTACTTCAGGCCCTCTTTCTCTCAGGCTGTATTTGTGCCCTTTAGCCTAAGCTGTGGCTCCAGGCCTCTCCCCATCCTGGTCCATCCTGCACTCCACAGGCAGATTAATGTTCTCCAAACATTTCAGCATGTCATTTCTCACTCCAATGTTTTCAATACAGTCCTTTTGCATTCATAATGAAATCCCATTTCCACAGCATATTCAAACACTAATATATCTAACAAAGTTTCTCTCTTGCTACTTTCTCACGTGAGCCACATTCCCAGTTAAATGCATGTATTCAGTTTCTGTTGTGAGACATCTTGCATCTTTACAAAAAACTTTTTGTTCCGTAACTTTAACCATGTTATCCGGCAGCAACCCCTACTAATAGATATTCTTTTGTATTATTTCACACTTTGAAATTTCAGGCATTTTCAAAGCTAGTTCAAATCCTCCTTCTTCATGAAAGACTGCCCTTACAAAGCCTGTATCAGCTTGCCTCATGCTCATTTTTTTTCCACGCAAATTCATCCCCTCTTCACCTGGGCTGTGGCTCTGTGAGAGTGGGGAATGCATTTTCCAGTTCTCTCATGGAGCTTAACACTGTGCCTGCCAAGACTGGCAGTGAATACTGTAACTTTAAAACCTCAGGCAAAGATTAGGAAACCCATCCAAAAAAGGTAGGGAGAAAAAGTAATTCCCTTGAATTTCGAAGGACATAAAGATAAGATGATGGGGGAAGTGAAAATAAAGACCCTAAATACGAGGATTATCATGTAAAGTGAAAAAACAGAAAATCGGAGCCTGAAGGAAGTGCTAACTACAGATGTTCTAAGAACACACTTTAAGAAATTTTATGTAACTCTTCTCTTTTAAAATACTTTTAAAAATTTAAACTGAATGTTGTAAAGGCTACTGCCATTTGGGAGCACTTCTATTTTCTCCCCTTCTCTGGGGAAATGTATGGATTCTGTCATAACACCACAGACAAATAAACTCTACTCAGGAGAGTGGTGAACAATGAACGAGTAGAATGCACATGGAGTCATGCACAAGTCTTACTGCCTATTTGGAAATACCACATGCCCTTATAAACACTCTGAATAAAAGAGATGGGCAGTGGCTGCAGTTCTCTGATGATGAGGGCAAATTTTCTGTCCTGAGAATGCAACTGTACTTCCCACATCTCCCAGGAGGAAGAAGAATCAGCCTTCCCCTCCTCCGGTTCAAATTTTCTCACCTGATACCCAGTATAGTAAACTACTTACATCTGCACAACAAACCAAGGAGACAGTTTGTGAGGGATATGCAGAGGGACTTTGCTAACTCCTTCTGGGGCCACTTTTTAAATTTCCCTTTGACCAGAGAGCTATTCTGAGCATGGGTGCTTCCAATCACTTCAAAGAAAGCTCTCTGCTCTGATGAATATTTGGGGGACATGGGCCAAGGCAAGTCATGGGCTAACACTTTTATGCTGGGTCTTTGATCAACCTTCCTTTAATCTCTTATCGTGGTTTGATTCTCGTTTTGCACCTCACCCTCCGGACCTCCTCTATGCTGACTTTTCTTTGAAGTCAGCGGTAGACTTGTGGGTAGAGGCCGTAGGAAACAGACGTACAACTGTCAAACGGGTTGGAATTGTTTTTATGTTTTGTACTTTGTTTTGAATTACTCAACCTTTCCACATAGCCACACCTGGGCTCTTCAGATGTTTCCTTATCTGTGGGCCTCTGACATCTGAGTAAACAAATGTGGCTTAAAATCAAACAAAATTATTCACCTTAATAAGTAGACATAAAAATGACGTAGTAAAGGTATTGACATGGAATGTTGTTGACCAGACCTCGAACAGTGAGAGAGTATACTATGATTTTTAAAAACCTATATAAAAGCACAGAAAGTCTAGAAGGATATATATGAGGGTATTCACAGCAGTTATATTCAAGTAGAGGGATTATGGGTGTGTTTAATTTTGTGTTATTTGCTTATCTTTATTTTCCAATTTGTATTAGATGAACATGCATTGCTTTTGTAATGAGAAAAAAAGTTTATTTTTAATTTAAGAAAATAGTCACATAAAGACAAGAAAAGTAATCTTCTATTAATAATGAGCTTATTTCTTACAAATGACATTTCTGAATGTTTCGAGCTGATAATAAATGACACCATTTTTTTTCTAACTAATCTTCTTGTAACATTCTTCCAACTTATTTGACTATAGAAATTTAAAAACAAGCTCAACTATCATCTGGGAAATTATTAATTACTGTATTCATCACCGAAGATCTATTGTGTGGGTATGGATTGGGAGATGCTGTATTAGCTGGGAAAAATGTTTGGGTGTTGAAGTCAGACAGACCTGTTTTGGATCCCAGAGCTCCACCACTTTTCAGTTGTATGAGATTAAGTACTTTTCCCAAAATCAGGCAGCTAGTAAATGATGGTGCCTCAGGACTTGCGCTTAGGCAAATGTAGCTCTGAGCTCACTCTCTTCCCTCCCTGCTTTGGACACAGAGGAGGGGGCACGTGAGACACAGCCTTGCATGGCCTTCCTCCCGATTCTTTCCCAAGTACCCTTTACTTTCCCCGGCCCTGCCCTGTTCTGTGCTTCCTCTCCTTCCTGCCACACTGAAGCCACAGCTTCCCTCCTTCTCCAGTGTCAGCCTTATCACCAGGGATGGATAGAGCAAAGGCAGGAGAAAGTACAGTATCAGGACTTGGAGGATCCACAGATGAATTCTTCACAGTGCAGTAAGCAGACACACTTGGAGGCTGTGCAGGTGGACCTGCTCAAAGGCACACCCAGGAGGGCATTTTCTTAGGTGGACATATAGCAGGGTTCCTGCCTAACCTATCTATAGGGCACATTGGGTTTATGGAGTGTGAAAATTTTCAGTAATAGGTTCTAGGGCAGTATTTTTCAACTCTGGCCAAACATGTGTATCACCTGAGAAGCTTTTTATATACACAGATGACCAGCATCCACTCCTGATCAACTCAA